CCTCACCTCATCTCTGTCACTCTCTCTTCTCTCTCTCCCCATTCCTCTCTTGCTTCCTCTTGCAGATAAACCAGCAGTCTGATGTAATGTGACAGTGTACGTTTGGTTCCTGTTTGCGCCCTGACAACTCAGGAAATTGGCTTTTCATCTTACAAAAAATACTGCCTCCCATATATTAGAAGACATTCATCTTATTATGAAGAGCTGATGGTAATTGGAAGTTTGTGCATCCATTATATTAAACATTTTGTGGTGAACATTTTGATGTTGCATGTAAAAATTTCACCAGGCTAAAGTCACAGCTTCAATGTCATTTAGGCAATTTACATGCAGTGAGAATTGTCCTCTTATTGTAGACCCAATTGAGGAAATTTGAAGAAAATAATTTCTAGAAGATCACTTAGGTCACCAGTAACGTAGTGGATACTGTCATGGGATATGTTTTGTTTTTGTGACATGCTAAATAAAATCGTATATCTTTTGACATTAGAGATGCTAAATATGCTTCTTATTTATTTTCAAAGCTTTTCCATTTGAATGTTCATAATGGATGAAAACTATATCAAATGTTCACCCTCTAGGTCATCATCAGTGATAACTCATACCCTAACACTATGTGTTGGAGACAAGCAAAAAGGAAAAACATGTGAGCAGTTTGATGCATTCGAGGTAGAATGCCATCCATCCACTGTTTGTTTGTTTGTTCTTTGTTTTTGGTTTTTTGAGTGCAAAGACCTGAGAGAGCAATTTTTTAAAAGAACAAATGCTCTAATAACAGAATTAGGTAAGATGTAGATCTCAGTGGGTCTGAACCTAAGGCCTGCGAAGCTTTGCAAGTTGCCTCATGAATGCACTGAGGTCAGTTTGATTGTGCAAGCATAATGAATACAACACAGAAAGTTGCTGTGAAGAAGAGAATATGAACCAGCCTTTATTTACCTCAAACCCAACAGCAAAGTTTCCATTTAACTTTTTACATTTTTAATACATATTCCAAACTACTGTTAGACTTATCTTAGAAACTTGGTGCGATGAGATAGTGTTGAAGCCATCTCTCTAGTCTCACGTGACATTACAGAAGAAAAGGGCACAATGTGACGGTATAATTATATAAATGCCAGTCAAATCGCAAATGGTGGAAATTATGATGAAAGTATGACATTTCTGTCACATTTCTTTGTTCGTGTAGTCTTTTGTAGAACCTCTGTCTGTCTGTCTTTTCCCTTCATTTCTACATATCTGTATTCATCTGCTTTTTTTTTTGTTTCTTTAATTGAACACTGTTCAAATTTGCCATCTCTGCCCAGCATAAAACTGTGGTGTATTATTTTTCTGAATTTCCAATTTTCTTTTCCTTCTAGCTGTATTATTCGAAACTTTAAAAATGTTTAATCTCTAGGACTATGTTCTCTTTTTCGTGTAATATTATCAAAAATGAGAAACCTTTTCTCTCAGAACGACGCTACACATTAGTTCATACATTTCTTACCTCTAGGCTGGACTGTTACAATTCTGTATTATCAGGTTGTCCTAGTTTCCTGGTACAAAGTACCGCAGTAGGAATGGGACTCCCTCTGGTCACACTTCATTGGCTTCCTGTTAAATCCAGAATTTAATGTGAAATCCTTCTCTCGTACACTCAAGTCCTAACTGATCAGAGCCTATCATCTCTTAAGACCGACAGTACCACGTTATCCTGATAGAGCACATCACTTTTAGGCTTTCAGGCTTATTTCCCAGAGTATTTACTTTTTAAATTGTATAGTTTTTCAGTTCAGTTTTTTCAGCGTTTAGTCTTTTTTTAATTACTATAATATGGAGGGCATACGTTAGAGGCAAGATTTACAAAAATTAGTACAGGTATTACAATAAAAACACAGGCGTTTTCAAAAGCAGTTGACTCACCCTTTTGTAGACATCTAAAGTCCCAATAAGCACATCCATCAATGTCTCAACAGGAACGTGTAATGCAATTTTTACCAAAGTAATGCATATTAAAGCTAGGGATATTTCCTCTATTATTATTTAATTTTAGTTAGTTTTCCAAGTTTACAAAATCGTTTCAGTTCAATTTAACACTATACTAAAAAAATTAATAGTGAATATTTCAATGAGAAACTGAGATATTCAACTTTAATAATAATAATGATAATTCACCTTTAAGAACAAGATTTGGAGGCTCAATGGACTCTCTATTTCAGAGATACAAGTGAATCAAAACAATCAATCAAATTTCTTATAAACACCTAGAGTAAAGCAAACCTGAAGCTTTTCAGGCCATCTATGTTCTGTCATCAATGGATAGTAGCCCATTTTTTCTGACTGATTATCCTGGTTGTTGAACAGGAAACATGAAAATACCAATTACGAATTTAAGAATGTAGGACTATAAAGTTTTAAAAATGTTTTACCCTCCTTGTATTAGATTGTATTTTGTATTAGATGTCTAGTTCAGTCAGACCTCATCCCCTTAACCTTAACCCCACTACCAGCATTGCATTTTCCACTTCATACTTCACTTCAACATTTTCATAGTGAATCTCACCAATATGTGTTGGAAAAGCTGAAGACAGTCTTATCTGTATAATATTTTATTGCTAATATGTTACTTCTTAATCAACACAAAAAGGTCCTCAAAGCAATAAACCACTTTGTTATTACTTAAGCAAGCAATATGTCTTTTAGACTCAATTTCTACTTTTGCAACAACAACAAACAAATCCTCAAGTGCCAAACTGCATTATATTTCCTCACGTCAATATATGGGCCGCACGTAGGGGCGATGTGAGTCGCAGGTGGCCCCCTGGCCGTGAGTTTGAGACCCCCGTCTTAAAGCCTGGAGGACCTTTAATTCCTTACTTCTAAAGTCACATAAACTGAAGTTATTGTTCTCAGCCTTAAAAATCTTTTAAAAACTTGGCGACAAACCACATACTTACTCTGGATGGCATTACCTTGACCACCAGTAACGCTGTGAGAAATCTTGGAGTCATTTTTGACCAACTTCCTAAAAAGCCTTCACTTGATCCAGCATGTTGCAGTGATGACAGGGACTAGAAATAAACCATATTTCTCCCAAATTATCTAAGCCTGGTTATGCTGGAGGTTTCTT